CACTACACCACCAGTCCTCAATATTTCTTTGTCTTGTTTCAGGCAACACCTTGTGAAAGTCTCTCCCTTGTCAAGTCCTGAATTGAAACACTTTGCATGGTGCTGTCTGATTCATGAACGGACTGAAACACTTCTGTGTGGTGCTTATGAATGCGCTCTCAGAGTTAAAAACAAGACAAAACAAAAAATACCGATAGTCACATCGACCCACTGCTTAGCTTCATGGAAAGAAGCTAGGTTAAATCTGTGGCATTTCTGCCTATTTCCTTTAAAATCTGTTTCATTGTGTCTTTGTTTTCATCTTAAAGGAATAGCCACAAGACCTGCAGGCACATGTCCTCAAGATCAGGACTGAAGGGCTGTGGGACCATTAAGGTTAATGAAGAATCCACACCTGCCATCACCAGCACACGGCTGTGTTATCGCTTCCTTCCTGAGGACCCCATCATCACCGCCAGGGCTAGCTACTTGAAACTTTGTTCATTCTGTCCTTGAAACACTTGCCAAAGATGTGTAAATGCTACTCTATGTTTTTGAATATTGAGAAACTGAATTTTAGTTCAAACTAAAGTAACATAAAACTTTATCATGAGTCCCTACAGCCTTCTCATGGAGAATATATGTTGTCATCGTATCTGAAAACTTAAAATTTCTACAAGGAACTAGCTCAGATCCTCAACTGCTTTCAGAATGCATTTTTTTATGTATATGTGCCCACATGAGTTCTATATACACTGCATGTATGCAGGTACCCTTTGAGCCCAGAAGAGGGTGTAGGATCCCTTGGAACTGGAGTTAAAGGCAGTTATGAGTGCTGGGAACTGAATCCTGATTCTAGGCAAGAGCAGCAAGGGTTCTGCACTGAGCCCTCTCTCCAGTGAACTCCCCTCCCCTACACCAGTACTGTTTTCAAAATCACTAGGGATCTACTGAGTCAGGAATCTTACAGAACAAGGATGAAACAGGACAGGAAAAACCTTCTAGAATTCATTCAAACTTCCACCTTTTGTTTTTGCTTCCTCTTGTCCTTGGAAGGCTTTCTGTGTTTTCAGTCCAATCTCTTTCTCCATGGTCTGGCAGTCACTACCTATACCCTCAGCAAAGCAGGGATTATGTTTGATCTCCTTATAACACCATAAAAACATAATGTAGACAGCATTTTACACCCCTCTTCTGAAGGGTCTGGCTTGGCACAACTTCCCACGAATCTAGTTTAGAAGTTTGTGGGGGTGAGGTGGGGTGGTGGTGGTTGGTTTTTTTCAAGCAGGGGTTCTCTGTGTAACAGCCAGAGCGACTGTCCTGGAACTAGCTCTTGTAGACCAGGCTGACTTGAACACACAGAGATCCACCTGCCTTTGCCTCCCGAGTGCTGGGATTAAAGGGGTGCACCACCACTGCCTGGCCCTAGTTTAGAAGTTTTTGTGGTATTGTCATACCATCATATTTTCAAGTTTGATTTGGCTTGGTTTATTTGCAATGCTGAAGATTGAACCCAGGGCCTTGAGTACCAAGTCATTCTGTCACTAAGCTACATCTCTACCCTTTTAAGTTACAAATTTAAACTTTATTTTCTTTGATAAAGGAAAAGTCATCATAAAAACGCAAAAAAAAACACCCCAATAAACCTTCGCCTCCTTTTCGATATAATAGTGCACAGAGCAGGTTGACAAGCATCCTGCACTAACACAGCCCGGAAAAATGGCTTCACAAGGATGAAGAGGGGGGGTACATCACCTCATGGGAGGGGATGAATCAAGGCCCCAACCAAATGAAACTGAAAATTGCTAAATGAAGCTCTGAGTGGAGAAAATGAAAAATCAATGGTGGCCAAGAGGAGAAAGGCACATCCTTCATCTTCATGGGGTTTGAGTAGGCAGTGGAAATCCACTTTCAATTAATGTGTCTTGTGGCACGCAGCCAGGCTGGGTACGAACAGGGTGCATGTTTTAATCAATTTTTTCTATTAAGTTTGAAGTAATATATAACAATAGAACTATGCTAGTCAAAAGGATCAGATGAAATGGGCTTCTGAGCTAAGATAATCTTATTTGGTTTGATTTCTACCTTAGATTGATGAGAACTCAACTTCTCAGAGTAAAACAGCACGCAGATACTCCTGGGTACCTAAGGATAACTTAGATGTCAGGGAAGAATGAATACATTGGCTTCCCGATGCTAACACATCTACTGGGGAGAAAGGAAGATTTGTTCTGGGTATCAGGCCTTGGAAGGCTTAGTTTGAGATGCTCACAATCAACTCTAAGTGGGTATCACCCCAAGCAAGGAACCAAGGTTCAAGATGCTGGCAAGAACTGGCTGAGATCTCAGTCACAGCCTTTCTAATGCTGAGACACAGGGTCTTTTGATCCACACCCTGCTGTTCTGGGATTCATCTGCTACCATCCACCTGACGGCCATACCTTAGCATTGTGGCAGTGGCCTGGGGATAAATGGTAGGTTGGAAAAGAATGGTGTTGTGGAATTTGCCCTTACAAAGGACCTGTTGGGGCTGTCCAGTGCCTACATATGAGTGTGTGTATTGCCCACGTTATTTATATTATGTATGTGTGTCAGTGCACATGGCACACATGTGTACATGCAGAGGTTGACACCAGAAGTCTTCCTCACTGACCCTGGATCTCACCAATTAAGCTTGGCTGGCTGGCCAGCAAGTTCAAGGGCCCTTCCTGTGTCTGCTTGGTGTTGCCACACCCAGCTTTTCGTCAGTGCTGGAGATCTGAACTTGGCTCCTCATTCTTTCATGGCAAGCACTTGCCAACTGAGCCATCCTCCCGTCGTCCCCACCCATTTTATTTTCTGAGACAGGGTCTCAGTGGCCCGGGCTAGCTGAGGATGACCTTGAACTTCAGATTCTCCTGTCTCCATATACCATGTTCTGGGATTGCAGGCCACGGTATTTGCCACCATACCCAGAAGGGGCCCCGATTCTTTAAACCACCCACCTTTAGCTCCCTAGGGAGGTAAGTGGGATGGAGAAGGAAAGCAATGACCTGCTTGTGTGTCTCTGAGCGTGCAGAGGGACAACCCCAGAGGCTGATGGGACTATCTGGGAAGAAGGCTGACTCAGAGCAAGGTTATGCTCATCTCTTCACAGCTGCCACACACGGATGCTTAAAAACGGTCCTTTCGTATTGCGACTACGAACCTTACCCACCACAGCCAAGCTCTCCTCCCAGCTTTCTTTCTCCCTTTGTCCCTGCTATTAGCCTGGCATCCTAGACACTACTCTGAGGCTCAGGTCCAACCAAGCAGTAGGAGCCACTGGGCAATCTTGAGCAGTAATAACCTTGTTCTTGGCGCGGTGCCCACCACCCACCACAATGGGTCTCAATCCACATTTTCCTGCCTCTTCATTTACCACTCCCTCATCTAATTCAGTCAAACTAGATCCACGCCTCAACTCACCCCATACTTTCTGGTCTTCATATTTTTGGTTTCATTTATTTTATAGCTTATGTGATGTGACCTCTTCCACCCATTCAATTACTGCCTAGAAAAATCTAACCCATCCTGCGGGAGGCTACCAGACACTGCCTCCTCCTTGCAGACTGTCCACCCGCGGGAGAACTGGTTCACATTTGGAGGCACTGTGGTAATGAAGCACGTGGCATGCATGCCACCATCAGTTCACACCTCTGAGATGGGCACTGTCATGACTGGTTTTATTTTACTGAAAAGGAACCAGAATCTTGGAAAGGATAAGGACTTTGTGGATTTGTAAAGACAAATCCTCGTCAGAAGCAGAAGTAGGGGCAAGGCCAGATTTCATTTCCTCAGAGTACAGGCTATGACTCTCCAGCTCCTGTGCTCCCAGAAACAATCCTTTCAAAATATCATATTCACAACACCTCAGCTTTAGGGCTATTTTGACCATTTCAAAGGACCATGGCTTAGAACCGGGAATGTCACTCAGCACACTCTCCCTCACCCTCGGAAGAATTTAAAGGTCATCCAGAGAGTCCCTCGAGAGCAGGGGCTCACGTCCATGTTTGCACCTGCTTATACAGGAGGTCGTTCTTACGTGCTCACTGATGACGTCTGCAGAAAGAGCTACCAGTAGGCTGCACTGGCTCTCCTCCTTCCCACACCAACCGCTAAGTCTAAAGACTGGGCTTCCCTACAGACTCTGGTGGAGGAGCAGGACAAGAATGTTCAAAGACAATAGCACAGGGGGAAGGAACTCCAGCTTGGCAAACATGACATGAAAAATAAGATCAGTGGGTAATGATATTGAAAAACAAGCTTCTCATAGGCCAGAAAGAGACAGAGTGAGCCCTGGCCACACCAGAGACACAAAAAATAAATTCCAGATGGCTTAGTCTTTATTTGTCCAAAAATAACATTTATTGAGCACCTACTGGATACCAGTGACCATTCTAGATAATAGGAATACACTCAAGAATGAAATAGGCCAAAGCCCCTGCCCTCACAGAGCTTCCATTCTATAAGAGGGAGAGAGACAAAAACAAAACAAGCAAAACAACAACAACAATGGCAGGTGAGCTAAGGGAAGACACACCAAATACAGTGTAAGCGCCATAGACAAAAGAGAGGGGGAAACAGACATGTTGGTTTCAATAAAGGATAAAGATGACAAACCAAACTTTAATACTGTTACAGAAAAATGACAAACAAGACATACAATATAGTGGGAAAATTGATAACTGTAACCCTCAGGAAAAAAAAACTCAATATTTGTACAAGAGATGCCACAAACAAATACCACTGACCAGCAGGTGAGAACATCACAAGTACTTTTCAATAAATTATCCATGCCAGCAACACAGAGAATTCATACAAATTATCAGGAGGGAAGATAAAGGAATTGATTTAAAAACTCAATGAAGGACATGCGCATTAATTCACAGAGGCCAGCCATATTGCCTCCCATTCCAGTGAGTGTTCACCAGGCCGACAAAGATGATGGATTAAATACAGTGTGACCTGCTTTTGCTCTTGGGATGGTTTTTCTAGAATACACAGGGATGGAAAGGTGCCCCAACTGTGTTCTTTGTGATGCCTCTAAAAATTTCATATTTTAGTCAAAGTGTTAAGATTTTAGTTAAAATAAGAAAGTGACTACTCTATGTTCACCACAGAATTCGAAACGACAATGTTTTCACTGGCTATAAAGAAATCCTACCTCAAGGTGAGCAGCATCTCCTTTGGGTGGGGTGGAGAGTGGGTAGGGGACAAGTAAGCCTTAGCAGTCCAGGCAAAGGGGCCAAATAAGAGCCGGGGCTAGAGGGTGACCAAAGGTTTGAACACGAGCTGGGTTTGGTAGCAATTTAAGTCAAGTTGACATCATACCAATCTAGGTAGAAAGACAGAGCACTAAGACACAGGATTGTAAACTGAAGCAAGGGACCCAGATCAAAGAAGATTAGTCTACAACCAGGGTCAGGACAGGCGGAGCAAGCAGCATTCAGGACATCTCACCATCTGCTCCACAGAACAAGACATCTCTGGCTTCCAGGCACTGACCACAGCTCAGACAGACAAAAGTATTCTCCACCACACTAGAAGAAAGATTCACCCAGCATGCACCTTCTCTGAAGGCCCCTCCCTTAGATCCCATTATTCCACCTCCTGAGACTGGGTAATGACTTGGTCCAGAAGAAATGCCGGAGACTGGATTCCATGCCCTAGGAATGATGCAGGTAAGTGACCTCCTAGGGTCACCAGGGAATGGGTGACTTTTGACTCTGACTCCAGCTCTCCCCAATCCCCTACAGGGTACGTGGGGCCCAGCTTGAAATAGGTCCCCACCCCCAGGTTCACGTCACTGAGAGATCATTTCAGGTGTGGACTTGTCTCGTCTGCTCCCTTCCCTTCCATGCCACCCTAAGCTGGGACTGACAAGGGCACCAATACGAAAGGACAAGGGCAACCCCCCCCAACACACTTTCCTATAAAAAGTTCCTAGAAATGCCAAGGTCAGAGGGATACCCACCCTGTCACTACAGTCTACCGGCTTACGTATGCTAACATCGTCGCTAACTAAAACTGCCACCATAGCATCCGCTAGCTCCCAGCAACCCTTGCTGTGTTGACGAAATAACAGCACACCGGCTGTGAACAATGGCCTCTATGAAGATAAACCACGAAGCCTACATCACTCATCTCACTCCCATGCATCTTAGCGAGGCACGTTTCTCTTTTCACCGGCAATCCCCCGCCTTTCCTGAAGTTGGTTGAACCACGTCTATTCAGGAAAGACGGCCAGAAGGATAGAAGCAAACTGAACTTTCCTTAAACAAGAGGAGACATTAACTGACAAAGACCGTAGACAATAATTTAGAAAGGACACCCAGAGGGCCCCCTCCAAAGATGGGGGTCGCCATATACAAATATGAACAGACTACCAGGACATCTGGCCGAATCTGCATTTTCAGGAGTGTGATCCAGTGAGGCGCGCCTCCTTCCCAGAGCGCAGCTTTGCCTCGCTTCCCTTCTCCTTAGTGGACGTCTTCTGCGGATGCTCCACCTGGCACTTTCTGAATTATTTTTAATAGTCTTTTTCAGTGCAGTTCTTGCTTTGATGTCTAGAAACCCAAGTTTCTAAAAAAAAAAAATATCCTGTGGATCTCTGAGGTCTCTTTGATCTGCAGTTTGAGGTTGTATGTGTTGAGGCTACTGCCTGAGAGTGTTTTCACAGAGGAGGGTCCCACAGGGTCGTGGTTTCCTTTGCATAGCGTATCTTCCCTGCTTGCTCCGGGCCTCAGCACAGATAAACACCACCTCTTCCCCGCAGAGTGTACAAGTAATTCTTCTAATCACACCCAGTAAGATGCGATCACCTCTGCCTCTACCCAGAGCAGGCTAGCATCTTATCATCGTCCAAAGAGCCGGAGACTAAGTGTGGAGAAGAGCTCGTGCGACATGATCTGGGGACAGTTCAATTGAGTGGGTTAGGGTCGAGGGTTCAGGGCCATGGCTCCTCCCCTGACCCCCAAGGATCTAATTACCAGCTATGGGAAGTACTGGGGACACAGGGTACTTCCCCAAAGCACATCTCAACACATAGCTGAACCATGTAAAACAGAAGATCTTTGAGATAGAGAAAATTCAACTCTTCTACTCAAGCACCTGATGAGGGACATGGCTCAGTTGGCAGAGTGCTTGCCTAGGATGCATGGGACCCTGGGTTCAATCCCTAGCAATATATAGACTAGGCATGGTGACACACACATGTAATCCCAGAACTTGGGAGGTGAAAATAGGAGGATCTGAAGATTAGGGTCATCCTTGGGTACATAGTGAGTTTGAGGCTAGCCTGGACAACATGAGACCCTACCCCACCTCAAAGAAATGAAGAAGTAGTTTGATGGCTAAGCTAGAGAGTGGCAAACAGAACAGAAAAGAAGAAAAGCATGCTCAAAGATTCAACGTGGTTCCCAAGACTCCAGCGGAAAAGAAGGCCAGCCCTGAGTATGTGGGAAACCATAAAGCAGAGACTTCGGTCACTTACCTCCACTGTGGGACTGCATCACAAGAAACCATTTACTGAAAGCAGTAATATTAGTGGTAGCTAGCAGTCATTAGATAGTTTCTGTGTTGTTCCAATGAATAAGTGATATACATATATAATCTCAATTAACTTGTGCCCACAAAAACCTCTCAGGCAGACATTCTTATTAATTCTATTTTACAGAAAGGGAAATGAATAAATTTTCAAAGACCCACAACTGATACACACAGGTCCACCCGACTCTAAAGTCCGAGTCTATGGGTATCTTCCGGGCCACTATTCATACCAAGTCCATGAAGATGACTGGCTGAAGGAGGTGTGTGTGGACTCAGGACCTGCAGGGGTTCGGTTCAGAAGCCTTATATGGACAGAAGGGAAACCACTTTGCCAACTGACGGAAGAGCCAGGAACTCACGCTTCAGTCTCAGACAAGTCATTTCCTAGCTGCCCCCGCCCGAGGGACTTTGCCTCCCCAAGGTCATGGCACTGCCTCTCTGCAGAAGTCTGAGGTGAAGAGGTGGCAACTACAAACACGCCCTGTTCTGGCTTTCGTGTGAAAGGCAGGCCCGGCTAATAAAGCCACCGCATTTGGCTATTCACTGAAGGGCTGAAGTAAAAGACAGAAAGTCACCCTCTAAACCAACGTGAGGACAGTCCATGAACACAGATCGGGAGAGCTCACACACACCACACACCACACACACACACACACACACACACACACACACACACACACACACAGGGCAAGCCCACATGCACCCATATTCTCTGTTTTCTGCCCCAAAACTGACCTCACCCTTCACTGGCAAAGCCTTCCAGGCAGGTTCACACACAACCCACAGGCCTCGTGGACATGGACAACGGCTACGAATGTGGCTCAAACACAAAACCACAAATGTACTTAATACAGGATAAGATTTTCGGTCATCTTCCCTCTCTTCCTCCCTCCCTCCCTTCCTCCCTCCCTCCCTCCCTCCCTCCCTCCTTTCTTTCTTCCTGGTTCTTGAACACACACTTTGTAGATGGCAAGGCTGTGCTGTCAAAATGTGGGACACACCTATGAGTCTGGATGGATTCTGGGCACCCCTGGGCATTCCTACACTGTGGGGGCCAACAGCCACTACTACACATTAGCATGCTACCAAAGGATTCTTCCAGGACCCAGAACCTAGGGTTAGCAGGAAGAGATGGCCCACTTTTTAAATTCCCTGCTCTTGTCCCTGGTTGCTATTCCCCAGGCTTTTCTTCTGTGACTGCCCTTCTGGAGGGTCACTGCCAGCTTTCCACCTTGGGTACAGGAGCTTCTAAGGTAGCCTGGCCAGACAGTGTGACAGCATGAAGCTGTACAAGGAAACCAGTCTGCTGTGTGTCAGACACACCACACACACTCAAAAGACCCCAACACCCAACCTGTTCCCACCAACACCTGCCAACTTTGGGGATCTAAGGCTCCCCAGGTGATTCTAGCCACTCAGAGAAGCAGAAAAGGGAACATCATTTCTATCTTCGCACTTTAACCAAACAGCTATGTTAGGGGGTAGGGAGGTGGCTCAGTGGATAAGGTGTTTGGGGCACAAGTGTAAGGACCTGAGTTAGAATCCCAGCCTCCCCATAGAAAGTAAGGTGGGTGTGGTGGCCTCCCGTAATCCTAATGACCGGGAAGTGGAGACAGGGGCTGCCTGGGTCAAGCTGACCAGCTGTGTCGGTGAGTTCTGGGGTCAGTGGCAGACCCTGCTCAGTAAATACAGTGAAGGGTGGTCCAGAAAGACACGCGATGTCAACCCTGGCCTCCATATGCACGTATGTGATCATATGCAGGCAAGCACACATATATACAGAGACCAAAAGAAAGTCATCATAAAAAAGGGTGAGCAACAAAATGAAAAGATGCTTAAGAGTCAACCTGGAAAGCAGTTAAGGAGCACACGGTTGGCCTTTACTACACGGTACAAGACCTTACTGCTCCACACAGTGGGAGCCAAAAGACAGCCGCAGAAGCTGGGACAATCACTTTTATCACTGCTCTGAAAAGTGATATTCATGTCAGGAAGGGGTGGTGCACGCCTTTAATCCCAGCACTTGGGAGGCAGAGGCTGGCGAATCTCGAATCTCAAGTTCAAGGCCAGCCTGCTCTACACACGCAGAGAGTTCCAGGACAACAGAGGAATTCTGTCTCAAAAAACAGCAACAACAAAACAAACAAACAAAAAGATATTCTACTGAGGTAGGGAAATTATATTACTTAACACAAAAGGTCTTTAAGAAACTCGGGAGTGAGAACTGAATGTTTGGGGCTGATAAAGAAGCCCACACTGACGCTTTTTTTTAAAGCTGTAGTTGCCAAAGTAGGACCAAAAATTGACAGGAGACATCACCAAGGAGTCCCAACCTTGGAGAAGGAGAAGCTGTGGCACAGACAAGCTTTGGGACGTCAAGGGAAAGAGGGAAAGCATCCCTGGCAGGAGCTGCACCATCAGGCTACTTCTCCCTCTGGGTACCAGGTGTTGACAGATAAAAATACACTCCTCCACTGAAGTGGGAATTCAGCATTCCACGGTGACTAATTCAGTACGTAGTTTTCGAAATGAGGCCCAAGTGACCTGGGGTGACTGAGTTATGACTTTGTTGATTTTGTGACCGTGAAACTAGAGTCCTCAGAAAAAGCCACACCTATGCCAAAGGTTGACCAAGCTGGATGACTGACAGAGGGTTTGCTGGTTGTGGGGAGTAGGAATGTTGCAGATCCAGAGCCAAATTATCTTAGGCTGTTATTAATTGCCCAGCTGAGTCTGACCTAATAGCCATGTGACGACTAGGTAAGACCTTCTGAGATATATTAACTTAACCAATCATTAGCTTTCAACAACCCCACAGCTAAGGATGTCAACAAACACCACCCGAGACCTGCCTGCCCGAGGCTCCTAACAATGTACTTGAAAAGTGCCTTGATTTACGATTTCTTTTTCTTCTGTAACTGTAAAGACTTTACAGAACAGCTAACCACATTGGGACATGGCGTTTGGGGTAGCCTGAATGAATGCATCCAGGTACAGTCACTCACAGCTGGCTCCGGAGTGAACCGTCCCTTACTTCATTTGAGGTGAGAGTTATGGTTTTTTGTGTGGACTTTCTTTACACAACAACAAAACCGAGATCACAGTAACAGACAATGAGAGAGAGAGAGAGAGAGAGAGAGAGAGAGAGAGAGAGAGAGAGAGAGA